CCCCCCCGCCGTCATTCCCCCCACACACACACACACACACACACACACAGACATGCTCAGGTATGTGCACACTCTGGCAGGGAGACCCCAGCCATCACCCAGTCTGCCACCCTCCCAGCACACTCACACTCACACTCAGGCCCACACAGACAGAGGCACGCAGGGTTCCGTGGACACACACAGACCTGCACACGCACACCAGCAGCCCACCCTCTGTCAGCCCATCTGGAGCCCAGACCCAGCTGGCTGTCTTCGAGTCTGGCTGTGGGGTGGGGCTGGGGCATCTGTCCCAGGAACGGGCCATCAGCGCCTATGCGCTCCCCACCCAGCAAGGACACACACCACACACCAGCCCCCACTCAGAGCCCAGAAACCACGCGATCCTGCAGCTCAGGTCTGTGTTCTTCCTGAAGGCCAGTGTAGACCACTGGAGAGCCTCAGAGGCAGGTTCCCTGGCTCTGGCCCACGTTAGTGTGGCCTCAACAGTGATTGCAATCTTATTTGCTCCTCAGAGCAAACCTACAAGACAGGTGCCACCTTCCAGCCTGGAAAGTGAGGCTCCAGGAGTCAGAGCGCTGGGCATTCCCCTCCAAGACCACTCTGTCCACATCTCCGGCACCACACCGTGTCCTTGTCTGTCTCCGCTCCCTCTGGCTGCTTTGTCAGCCAGGGGCCCCTTTCTGTGCCGGGGTGTTCTAAGGTGTTTCCTGCTCTTTCTACTCTGAACCCCTCTGTGACAACCTCTGTGCTCCTATTATCTGGCCTCCCTGTCTAGCCCGGACGTCTTCCTGGGTCTGACCCCAGAATCCAGATGGCGTCTCCAGGCCACCATGCTGCCCAGGGCCAGAGAAGGCCACTCACACAGCCTATGTGTTCCCAAACACCCCGATCCCAAGGAGTCCTTAGGTATAACTCACAAGGAGCCTGGCTGAGGCTGAGCACACCGTCTCCTCCAGGGACCCCCACCTCAATGTTCTCGTCTCCGAATGGCCCTGTCTGCCCGGGTAGCCGCCTAGAACTCAGGTATCCACGACTCTTCCTCCCTCATCCCCCAGGTCCAAGCCACAGCCAAGTGGAAATGGTCTGCATCCAAAATACACATGAACGCATCCTTTCCTTTCACCCCCCTGTTGCCTGCCCCACCCCTGCTGAGCCGTCATCCACCCCTCCGGCCTCTGCCTTACCCCCGTACCACCAGCACCCGTCCTCCTCTGGCCCCGTGCCTCCCTGCCATCAGTAATCTCCCCACCTCTGAGCTTCAGCAACATCGACTGCTTTTGGTTCCGGAATCCACACGCTCTCTTGACTCTGGGTCTTCAAACACGCCATTCCCTGCGTCTGAAATCTTTCCCCTTCCCAGTGCCATTCGTCATCGTTCAAGGCTCAGCCGAGACAGCACCCGCTCATACGCCGTCCCTGACTCCTTGGTCTGGAATGAGTTCGCCATCAACCATTTCCACAACAGCCTTCCACTCCTCCATTCATCACAGCTCTGACCCATCATGGTCTCGAAGCTCCCTAAGGGCAGAGATCATGCCTCCATTGCTCTCTACGGCGGTGGTCCTGACCCGATCTAAGAACCAGCACGCAGCAGGTGCTCACTGGGTCGTCCCTGGATGAGTGAGCGTGCAGGACCCGGCGGGGAGCTTCCACATACCTCTTCTCTTCTCATTTACTCCTCACAATTGACACGTGACACGGGCACTACTGTCCTGTGGTCTCGACCAGGAAAGGTTACAGAGTTGAAAACGGCCAAGGTTACCCAAGGCAAAGCACAGGGAATGGAGCCCAGGAGACATCTACTCTGGTGACTTTCCTCCCATCATCTCCGTCCCACCTTCCCAAGTCATTTTCCCTCTCCGGTCTTATTTTCTCATCTGGACAGGGAGAAGAAAACCGTGCCTAGTACAGGGCCTGGCACTAACAGGTCCTCAGTAAATACCTGTGTCCCACTCTCAGTCTCTGAGGCTTATTCAGGATAGAAGTTCCCCAGGCCCCAAACCCCCTGCATGCACAAGTTCACAGAAGCGGGCACACTCCACAAGGCACATCACCAGTTCAAGAACTCCACAGGTGCTTAACCAGTGAGAGCGGGGCAGACCAGCATTGGCCGAACGCTTAAAACAGCACGTAGACGCAGAGCGCCTCAGCCCGGGGATTCCTGCCCAGTGAGCCTCCGCTGCTGCCCTGCTAGCCCAAGGCGCGGGAAATATTTAAAACAATTTTATTCATGAAAATATGCTGTACAATGCACTCTACACGGCCTCGACACGGCACACACGCACACGCACACGCTGACGGCACGGCCACGGTACACTGCCTACGATACGCGCCGGGGACGCCGCGCCCACCGCCCGCCCCGACCGGACACTTATAAATACGGGAGAGGGGCCAAGACTGGCGTGGAGAAAGGGGTGTCAGGTTGGGGGTGGGTGTGATTCGAGCTGAGGCCCGCTGGAAAGACTGAGACCAGTATGGGGAGGGTGTGGGGGGCCTGGAGAGATTGGCTCCGTGGGGAGGGGAGGCGCTGGGATGGACAAGGACTTGAGGGCCTGCACCGTGGGTGTGGGTGTGGGGTCGTCGGAGGGTAGTTCAGGGCTGAAGGAGGACTGCTTACGGTGGACGGCCAGTAGGTGTGAGTGAGCTTTCCGGATAGCGCTGCCGGCTTGGGAGGGGCGAGGTCAAAGTGATGGGAGTTCGGGTGGGCGAGTTCCTAGTTGGTTTTCCGGGCCAGGCCAGCGTCCACAGCAGGCGGCCCACCTCACTCTTCCCACTCCCACCCGGCCCGATTCCACTTCCTCTCCCAGGCTTCCTGCCCCGGGAGGAAAGGGGATCTCAGGGACTTGGGCAGGAATGGTGGGGTGCCCCAGCCCCTCCCTCTTCCCTCAAGGGTCAACTTTGAGCGAAGTCTCCAGCAGGGCTGGGGCTGCCTCCTGGGTTCTCCCTGGGGCTGGACTCGGAGATAGGGACCCGGGGGTCAGGACGGGAAGACAGAGGCCCCTTGGGGACAGGGTGGGGTCACCCGGCCAGAGCGGCCCTCAGCCCGGCACCCAGCTCTGGTTGGGGGGCGGGGCCCCGGCCAGGCCGGGCGGCGGCGGAGGGAGGGCCGAGTCGAAGTTGAAGTCCATTTCGTCACTGTCCATGAAGTCGTTGAGGATAATGGACTCGACGTCGCACTCGAGACTCCCG